CAAGTGCATCGCTTCTAGTAACAAGTGCCTTACTAGTAGTAACAAGACGCTACTAGGAGCAAGTGCATCGCTTCTAGTAACAAGTGCCTTACTAGTAGTAACAAGAAGCTATTAGAGCAAGTGCATCGCTTCTAGTAACAAGTGCCTTACTAGTAGTAACAAGAAGCTATTCGATTTTAATTTAAGTTTAAACTAAATTAATAGTTTCTTGTTACTACTAGTAAGGCACCTGTTACTACTAGCGTGGCACTTGTTACTAGAAACATCAAGGACTTGTCACATCTTGTCACCACTTTGCGAAGGGAGCCTTCTCAACAGGGCCTCCCCGAATGGGAGCCTTGACAGCAGTGACCACCTCTCCGCCTTTGACATCCAAGGTGCTGTCATAGACACAAGCATGGGCATCACCTGCCGAACAGTTCTGTGCCAAAAAGTGCCCAGGCATCAGAAGCTTTCAACAGTTGAGTCGGAGTTTATCTCCTGTCACCAAAGGTAAGTATTACAGTTACGAATAGCTGTTTGTTTATGCGCGACAATAAGGTCGGCTGGCAAGTTCTTTCTTTTTCTCTAAGTAAACAGGCTTCACACAGCTCGCTCTCTCTCTCTCTCTCTCCTATCCATTTCTATCCGCCTGTGGCAGAGCTGAAACTGGAGGAGGTGAAGCTGAGACCCAACAGCTCTGCCGCGCGCTCGCAGAGGTGCAAATCCCAGATATCCCATTTGCTCACCTCGCTTCTATTTTGTTTTTTTCCTTCTGCATCTTTCGCAATGCTTCATGCCTTGTGTCCTCGTTGACTGATCGAGATTCATCGAGGAAATATGTGAAGAACATCATAAATACTCAGACAGCGTTCTACCCTTCTTGAAAAGTTTGGCAATGGAAACGATCTTGACCCAAGTTAAACTGATTTGAATTAGGTTGAGAGAGCTTTGCCACACCTGACCCAATCACGGCTCGAATTGCTCAGGTGCACAGTTCAAAGGGCTTTACAATGCTTCTCTCACCCAACACCCTTCCACCCAACATGCTGTCCAAGTGGCGCTACTGCAATCACTCGTAGTGCTTTCGTACCTCACCAACAGCAAGGACATTGTGAACACTTGTAAGAACAGTGACCTCCAATGGTAACTTGGCAAAGACTGTCTGCTGGTCTATTGCTTTAAGTTGACTAGAGGATTTTGTAGTGTTGAAGCTTGGAAAGTCCCTGTCACGAGGTGTGAAACTCATGTGGCGTCACTCAAATCGACCCAAGAATGTCGCGCTCCAAAATGAGACGGGGTCATTGACAGAGGAAGTAAAATGCAGAAATGCGCGTGTTTTTCATGCAATTCATATTCCAAACAAACATTCGCAAGGGCACAGCGTAGAATTGCCCTGAATTGGCCATGGCAGCAGCCCAACTTGAACTTGGAATCCTTGGCTAAAGACACAAAACTGGGCTTTCATTGGCGCTCGGCAGCTTGGAACGACATTTCTGCGGAAAGTGGACATCTTCACTGTGAGATGTTGATGTCTTTTGTAATGTAACAAGCGATAAATGCTGGGCCTTCCGAACCTTTGAATCACCAAAATGCACCAGAAGTCCTTAATTAGGTGTTAAAACGTATTAATAAATGGAGTTTTAAAGGTTCTAAGACGTTCTAAGCATCAAAAGCCATCGCTACCTCCCACCCATTTCCCCCGTCCAACTCCTCCGGCCCCGTCCCTTTTCGGCCGTGGGGCCGTCGCTGGGTGCATAGAGCCGCACCTGCGTGACGCTGCGCGGGGCGCCCAGGTCCAGCTGCACCCAGCGTAGAAGGCCTCGCGTCTTCTACCAGGCCGAGTGGACGGCGTGGAGGGGTGCTGCGTCGCAAGAAGCTACGTTCGGAGCAAAGGGCATCGCTACAAACGGAGCAAAGACGCTACTAGGTGCTCCTGGCCTTACTAGGTTGGAGGCCATCGCTATTAGTAACAAGGGCATCCAATAGCGATGCACTTAGTACTAAGGTGTGCTGCACACGCCTCACCGATTCAGCTGAGGTCTCGGTCTCGGTGAAGAGACACTCATGGTGGGCGTGATACGTGACTTCTTGGCTTCCAGTGAGATGTGAAGCAGATGGGTTTGGTTCACGTGTCGCGGATCTCTACATCTCCACCACAAAGGTCAAAACTCGATGGACACCGAGATGTTTGAGTCATGCTCCGCCTTGGTGTTCTGCCTTCATTCACAGATCCTAACTCATCTACTACCCGCACATACAGAAACCATCCAAAACCACTTTACCAATTCAGCAAACAAAAGAACACATCCTTCTGCAGCCGCTTCTTTGCCATAAACACCACTCTTCTTCATTCTCCCTGGCCGCCCTGCCATCGCCTGTTTGCACCAGCTCGCAGTTCCCACAGGTGTCTTCGCCGTTCCCGTCCACCGCGGCCCGCGCTGTGGCGGTGGAGGAGTCGCTGGTGTAAACACGCGCCGGGCGGATGATCCTCACAAATGGAAGCGGCAAAAAGGGAGATGTGTGGTTTCAACGACTTTCAACTAGGTCAAGTAGGTCTCAGGTGGTTTGAAACAACAAAGTCCTTGATTGAACCATTGTCCTTTTTAACACGGCAAGTTTTTGTCAGACACAAGAATTTTGCGAGCATTTGGGGTCCCATGCGGCAAGGGATGTGTTCATCTTGAAAGACCGATCAACAGGTGTGCGAAGGCGTCGAAAGGAACACTTGAGCTCAAGAAAAAGCATAAACATACATAGACACTCCTGGCAGATTGGCCAAATGTTTGAGTATACCCCCAAATAGATAGAAAGGTAGACACACACTAAAAATGTATTGGAACCGGTATACCGTTTCAATCATTTGGGGACCACTATATGTTCGTATATGTTTGAGTCAGCAAGAACTGGAGAAGAAAAGTCCGAGAACTGCAAACCTCAAGAAACTCACTAAACATGTGTTCTTGGTTTTGCTTTCAGCATGGATTACTCTTGGTGCTGGCACATCCGGCACTAGCCAAATAGTAAATTTCTGAAGTCATTTGCAAATTGATCCAGGCTTCTCTTCATTGTCCGGGCGAATGTTGGTGATGAGCCCATCTTCAGCGTCATGACATACTATACCATCATCCACATATCCGGTTCCCTGCAGTGTCTTCAGATCAAATAACCCAAACGGCCCAAACGTCTGCGACTTTCGCCCTTTAACCACACCGTCGTAAAGGCTAACACAGTCGAAGACATCTGGTAGAGATATGTAGAGATAGCAGATCAGCCCCTGCTTCTGACTGTTTGTATAATACATAATGATATGTTCCTCGTCTTTCCCAACAAGTCTTCAACTGTTTGTCTGTTTTGAACAGCTTTCTGTCCAACAGCCTTGGTGATCTTCACCGTGCTGTCGCCCAGCAACTCGATAACAGGCTCGGTGTTGACCTTGGCTGCGATTCGGAAAGAAACGACAAGCAAGAGAAGGAGGAATAAGGAGGCTACTAGTAACAAGAAGCTACTAGGGGCTCCTGGCCTTACTACCAGGAGCAAGGACGCTACTAGGGGCTCCTGGCCGTACTACTAGGAGCAAGGACGCTACTAGGGGCTCCTGGCCTTACTACTAGGAGCAAGGACGATAGTAGGGGCTCCTGGCCATACTACTAGGAGCAAGGACGATAGTAGGGGCTCCTGGCCGTACTACTAGGAGCATTCTTGCTACTAGTAATACAAGGGATAAGGAGGAGGGTGAGTCAGGTTCTCCCCTTTTTGCCGTGACCCATGCTACCTCAGCCGCGCAAAGGAGCGACGTATAGCGGGCTTCACTCGATGCGGAAGAAGGGCCCAGCACAGCGCATTGCGCTCGGTCTGAGGTCGCCACAACCACTTGACGATTTGCGGTGACCATGTAGCTGATCAAGGGGTCCACACAGGTGTAACTGGTCCTGATCACCAAGGTTGACTTCGAAATCACCACATCTCAAGTAACATGTCTTCGTCTCCCCAATGCCACTGAATTACTCATAACATCCAGTAGCTGATGTGTGCAATTCTCCAGCCCAAGCGGCTCGTAGACCCCTTCGTCGCTGGTGACTGACTGGAAGGACACCACTGAGAGGCTGTTCCCCGCAAAGTCCAAACAACAGGCCTGCGAGGACTCTGCATCAGCTGTTTTTGATCGTTGTCCCTGTGTTTTTGCTGGCCGTTCAATTCTTCCAGAAGAATTTAGACCATTGCTTTGGCAATCATGAACTCCTGGAAACTGTGGAAAGGGTTTCATGACTCTCAAGCAGCAAGAAATCCCAAGATCGTCAAACATCCCTGGCCTGTGGATCGGAAAAGGTATCATCCCTGAGCTTCGGAAGCTCATCTGGTCGAGGGTTGACAGGAAATGCTACAAGCACACTGCACCAAGTTGTATACAGTGGGTCCCTGGGTACACTGCAGCCCGAAAAGGCCAACACACCAGACCCACAACCTCTTGGCCTCTTGGTGACTGTTGCCTGTAGTTTTGAGATTCCGCCAGTTGGTACAAACCGTGTTCTGTTATCTTTTCAGCTCGATGGTGTTCTTCGTGTAAAGAAACGGCAGGTGGGTGGCATCTGCATCCACTGCAAATACCAACAAAGTAGGTTTCCCTGGGTGCAAATACCATCAGTGCCCGCATGCTTTGCATGCCAATCTCACACAGGCAGCTCATGCAAGGAAGAAGTTGGTAGGCATTTGGATGCCTGTCTGTTCATCAATCAGTGACAATCTCCACATGTATTTTTTGTTTTGCGGCTTTGAGTTACCCATCAAGCTTCATCATCTCTTTTAAAAACACCTTGTGACACAGGGGCTCCTTGTTACACCCAGCCACTGTTTGCCCCGCTTGCCCACCACCCGTTCCAGTACAGCGTAAAGCCAGGTTGGCCAAGTCGAGGCACTTGAGTAACACAAACGGCGTTGGCCCGATCAATGTGATGGATGGCACATCGCGTATAATCACCTCAACGGGAAGCGATAGGGCTTCAAGCCATCTATTGTGGACTACTAGGTGCGATGCCCTGTGTTACTAGTAAGGCCAGGAGCTACTAGTAGCGTCCTTGCTCCTAGTAGCGATGCCCTGATTGTTGAAGCCGAAAGTTGAAGGGAAGCCAACTACAAAGCCGTTTGCCGGCTACCGACACAGCTTCACTCTCACCCGAAACTTCAGCCGAAAGCGGTGTCGAAGAAAACACTTCCTTCACGGTTCACCGGGCCTCACGGTTTGCCGTGTCGATAAGGCCATAGCTATCCTCGCCTCAAGACTCGGCGAAGGCAACCCGACTCTCTTGGGTCGGGAACACTCGGCAACCGACCCACGATCGGAAGTGAACCCCCCTCCATCTCCCAAACTGCTTTCCGCTCGGCTGCCGGATCCCTCAATTGTCCTGACTTTTGACAGTTCAAAATACTTCAATCTCCAAAAAATAGCAGGATCTCTCTCTTTGGATCATCTCAAACTAAGCTCCGAACAGGTGTAGTTCGTATAGAAGGTGCCAGTGGTCCCCAGAGATGGTTTCTTCAGAACGACCTCCCAGGCCCATCTGTTGACGGAGTCCTCGTCGCCGCTCAAGCCTCGGTCGGACGCGGTCGGGACGCGGTCAACGTTTTCGGATTCAGCCGAGGAGAGGACATTGGGATCCAGGATCTTCATAGTCCGCCGAGGCATTTTTCAAGAAATAGCTGGGATTGTCACCAAAGACTGTAATCCTCAGTGAAAGAATGTGAAAGACAGGACAATTCCTGCTGCTTTCTGATTATCTCATCGCTCATCAATGGCCTTGTCACAACTGGTATTCACTGGAGCCACCAGCACCTCTTCCAATAGGTCTGCATGTTTGAGCCATTCTCTAAACAGCCCGGTTTGAAGCCAAGGCAGTCATGGCACAAGTCAGTCGGGGCGGGCAGAATTTGGGCCGAGCTTCTCTGGCTTGTGGGGGGGGGTCCAGCGGGGAGCAAGTGCTGGCGCCTCCAGAACATACCAATGCCCATTCATCTCCAGTATCGGGTCCTGCAGCTGATGAAAGGAACATGCAGTTCTGAGCCCCATTATACTATTGATTCATTGATACATATTGACAACTATATATTAATGGTTTAAAATTTACACATGTTTAAACAACAAACCTCATCAAACACACCAAAAGGGCCCCACTAAACAAAGAATGCCACGGTTCAGCGAATGGATGCCCAGCGTGCGATCACTTTCCTGTGTTCCAAAATTCAACATCCTGGAACACCTTCCCTCTACAGCGGTTTCAGAATAGATAGCAAATCCCCTTACATGTCTTTTAGATGGGGATCCATATGAACCACCTTTTGCGGATGGTGCCATCTACTAGCTCTGAACCCACTGTAACCCCACCTTTCCGCACCTCGGTAGTAGAACTTCAACCGTGAATATCCACTCTTCACGGTAAAGTACTCGAGGTAGACCGGGTAGCTCCCGGCCTCCACATACCTCAGGTATTTTGCCCAGCTCCGTCATTGCAGCTCGATATACCAATATCGATTCTTTTTTGAGGGGTCGCCTTCATCCAACTGTTGAGTGACGCTCGTGTTTCGCTCTTTTAGACGCAAAAAGAAACGCCACTTAAATTCGAACATATTCTTTCACCTTCGGGCCTTCGCGGGGCCCTTCTTTTTGTGGGCCGCTGCATCTCTACCTTCACTCAGAACACGCTCAGCCATGGCGCTGAGGCGTGGAGGTGCGGATGTTCTCCCCCCGTGCCATCGATGATCCCATCCAATTCCTTTCCGACTTCAGACTTTGGACGCTACAAACGGGGCTCCTGGCCTTACTATTAGGAGCTTAAGTAGACTCAATGTACACTCCAAAGGATTTTTTGAATGTTCATCTATGTTCATCTCCACATAGGCAACCGAGAATTGCCCACAGACATGAGAAGTCTTGAATGTTCAGATTAGACTCAGAACTGCTCACTTTCATCCACCGTACAGGACAACTGTGGATATGTATGGACCATAAGATGTCACTGTGCACAGATCGACATCCAACTGCACTGAGAAATAAAAGGACCGGATAACCCCACATGATAAGTTTTACAAATTCCAACTGTATATGAACATCACTTGGGAGACGGAGTAGTGAGATGAAATGTCAAGAAGGAAGTGTGAGGCGGTTATGCTCAGACGCGCAGTATAAGTGATGATGTGATGGACGAGGATGAGAAGGAGGGGAGGGAGGAGGTGTGTGTGTGGGTGAGGCTATCAAGTGGCGTTCAAAACGTAACACACTCGAAACGACCATCAAAGCTATCAAGTGGTCTCATCCCGACCACGGCGGGCAGTGTTAGCAGGATGTAAAGCAAGAAGAGGTGAGACACGCTTTTTTCTCTCACGCAGAGATGTAGAGTGAGCTCCAGGCAGGACCTGAGCTCCGGTCAACTCGCACGAACAGTGAGTATATATTTGCAACACTGAAGGCGGAGGCTAGCGCAAGACATCAGAAGTGTCGATGTCAGAAACGAACTTGGTCAGTGTCAATTCTTTTGAGAAACGAACTCCGTCAGTCGTTATGCAACGCAAGGCAGCGTTGTTTTCGATTCTTTTCGCAGCAGTGTATCGTCACAGTCTGTCCAGCTCGTCACGTCGACTCGCCGGCATGCTAGCTCACAGTTCTTGAACTGCAGCAAAAATGCGAGGTCTTACAAAGGAATTTAGGTTCTTCTCCCAAGTACGCAATGCCCAGAAGACATGCGGCCGATGCTTCCAGGGGTGAAGCGTGGGACGGGCCGTCAACAAGCTCTGCACAGCCGCTTCCGCGGAGAGCTGACGACGAAAGATCAACCACGCGCACAATGCCGCTGAGCTGCGGTTGACCCCGCCGAAGCAATGAAAGAGGATGCCTCGTTCTTCTCGCTGAGTCGTTGCCTTCAAGTGCTTCAGAAGAGCGCAGCACATGTCCATCCACGATGCCAACCAGGCATTTCCCACTTCTTGACAAAAAGTATTGGTGTCATCCAAGTATGTTCTGGGATCGTCCACGTCGAACGTAAACCACCGAATCTGGAGATCTTCAAACCACGCTTTCCAGCCCACCTCTGGCTCTTCAAACGCCGCAATCATGAGAACGCAGTGATAACACTGGCCACGTAAATCCTAGTGGACGTAGCGCGGAGACGGGCTTCATACCCGCCCTCGCCGCAGCCTCTGGACACTGCGCCGGCCACTGCGGAGAGAGCCGGGCCCCCAGCGGCGGGATGAAAAGGGAAGAACAAAGCGGGAGGAAAGGAGGTGTATGATACGCATATGCTGATGAGGTATGTGTGTGTGTGATAAGATGGCTCATGATGTGATGGACGGAGATGAGAGGGACAAGAGGGAGAAGGAGACGGAGAGGGATACTCAACTTCTATATGCAGCATTTACAAGGCGATTCGCATGCCGCGCAAACACTGCTCCTGCAAATCACAATGGCACCAGTGCACAGACACACTTCGCAAACATCCTTCTCGCAGCATTTACAATGCGACTCCGAACCGGCAAGAACCAATACTATGGAAATCACAATGGCACTAGTGCACAGACACAGTGTGCGCACATCCTGGCCGCAGCCATGACAATGCGATTCGCAGCCTGTCACAACCATTGCTTTGCAAACAAATCACAATGGCAGTAACGCAGTCTCTGAACACTGCGCCAGAGAGCCGGGCCCCCAGCGGCGACCACGCGCGCCGCAAGCCCTTCTGCAGTCTCTAGACACTGCGCCGGCCACTGCGGAGAGAGCCGGACCCGCAGCGGCGACCACGCACGCCGGAGGCCCTTCTGCAGTCTCTGGGACACTGCGGAGAGAGCCGGGCCCCCAGCGGCGACCACGCGCGCCGGAGGCCCTTCTGCAGTCTCTGAACACTGCGCCGGACACTGCGGAGAGAGCCGGGCCCCCAGCGGCGACCACGCGCGCCGCAGGCCCTTCTGCAGTCTCTGGACACTGCGGAGAGAGCCGGAGTGAGTGAGTGGAGTGAGTGAGTGAGTGGTGAGATCTTGTGTTGTGTGTGTGAATGTGAGAGAGTGGAGTGAGTGAGTGAGTGAGTGAGTGAGTGAGTGAGTGAGTGAGTGAGTGAGTGAGTGAGTGAGTGGTGAGATCTTGTGTTGTGTGTGTGAATGTGAGATGTGAGATCTTGTGTTGTGTGTGTGAATGAGTGAGTGAATGAGTGAGTGAGTGAGTGAGTGAGTGAGTGGAGTGAGTGAGTGAGTGAGTGGAGTGAGTGAGTGAGGGAGTGAGTGGTGAGATCTAGTGAGTGGTGAGATCTTGTGTTGTGTCAGTGAGTGAGTGAGTGATGTGAAGCATGAGTGAGTGAGTGAGTGAGCGAGTGAGTGAGTGAGTGAGTTTGTGTTGCGTCAGTGAGTGAGTGAGTGATGTGAAGCATGAGTGAGTGAGTGAGTGAGTCAGTGAGTGAGTGAGTGCGTGACTGAGGAGGGGGCGAGGAGGACGGAAGGAAGGAAGGACCGGCGGATGCGGGCGGGATGCCAGCCAACAAAACTAGAACCCCACACAGAGATGTGGGGAAAAAAACAAACAAGTGACAAAGTGCGGATACTATTGAAATCTATTGAATGCATTTGAATGCCATGCATCTTTGAGAACCCTAAAGGCCTCTCAAGGCTCTTTTGACCACTGCCGCCAAGTGTCAAGAATTGGAGTATCTTGAACATTGATGTCACCGAACTTCCTTGGCCGCTCCGGGGATACTTGGCCACTCAAGGAAAGGAGGTGCTTGAAAGATACTTGAAGTGTTGAACTTCAATGCCTAAGGGTGCCTTTCTTGTAGCGAACCATGGCACAGTGAACAGGTAATGATGCGTTGGAACACCTGGTAAACACGAGGCAAACCAACCCATAAAGCCTTCCAAAAAAACGCTGAGCTCCAAGTTGCAGCCGCGCACCATCTCTGAAGTCCAACTGGAAAGCGTAAAACCCGGACTGGCTGATGGTCAAGGTGGTGGCGAACTGAATTGCAGCGCCCGTGCTCCAAACCCTCAGTTATTCGTCAAACGATTGGAGCGCTTGCTCCAAGGACCGGCAAAGGATCCGCGAGAGAACCAGGGGGGTCCATACCTGTGGTTTTCAGGTAAAACACGGTTTTCCGCGAGACACCTGCCGAACCAAGGTCCCCAGCTGATGCTGATAAAAACACGTTTGGGTGGTATGCCATTTGTAGCTGTGCCATAGCCAGTGCACTAAAACAGTATCCAAGGGATGCTCAACATTCTCTAAAGGACACTTGATGTCCAAACCCAAACATCAGTGAAAGCTTGACCATCCCTGATCTAATTATACTAGTAACTAGGGCATCGCTACTAGTAACAAGGGCATTACTACTAGTAACACGAAGCTACTAGTGCGCTTCTCAACTGTCTTGAGGGCCATTTCTGCCAGACTCTGCGACCTCCAAATGTCTCCACATGCTGAGGACCGTTCCAAGAGAAGGTCGAGCTGTCCCAATTGATGATATTATAAGTCGCCGAAAGTGTCACATCTGTGTATGGCAGGTCCTGGGTTGAGAGCTTGCAATACAGCACGGGTGGTTGCTCTTGGCCCACGAAAGAACAGAATCACACACTAAGTAGGTTTCCTGCTGGGAGGCTTGTGAAATCATGTGAAATCCATTCGCTTGGCGTTTCTTTCTCTCCAGTTCGACCAACAACAGCTTCTCAACTGGACCCGAGACTCAGTTGGGATCACAGTGGTGCTGAGGTAGAACCAGTTTGCCTGTAGCGTGCGGTGGGATGCGAGTCGGTGTTAAGCCCGGCGGGGTGGGGATAGGTCGAGAAGAGGCAGAAGCTAGGGTAGCTAACAAGCAGCTACTACCTAGGACTCAGGATAACTCACGCTTCTTCAAGGAAGCTCCCCCCGACTCTAATCATCTTGGGAAACTTAACTATGTGTACATCGATGCGATCTTCCTTTCCTTTTTCATTGTTTCAAGTAGCGATGGCCTCCAACACACTAGCGATGGCCTCCATCCTACTAGCGATGGCCTCCATCCTACTAGCGATGGCCTCCAACCTACTAGCGATGGCCTCCATCCTACTAGCGATGGCCTCCAATCTAGAAGAATTCCAATGGGATTCAATGGGATTCAATGTCTATGCTGCACACACACGTTTGAACCTGACAGTATGGTGTGTCGGTGGGGCGGACACAACAAGACACGGCCCTCAGGGCCGCAAACAAACTCAGTGTGCCTGAATTCTGGACGCCTCTGCAATTGTCGACCAAATTAGCCATATCCTCTTGAACATTGTGGCACATGCTGCAGGGTGCGGCTAAATCAGCCGAAAGACATCTTTGCCCTACCAGTTTCACTCCTTTCACTGCCTCTGCTCCCACTAGCGAAACCAAGCTGGGTCTTGGCTAGACTGGCATTTCATGGCTTG